ATTCAAATACCATAAAGTACATACTGTCTTCTAAGGTTAGTAACTACTGAACTCAATACTTCCTACATAATACCTGAATAGTCATCTATAGTTGGACAAACTTAGTAATCCAACCATTCTAGTTCAGGGTTCTGTCTGTATTGTATACTAGGATTAGAAGTAGAACACATTAAGTAGGAAGGTAGTGTTCCTGTATGAAGGCCTTATTAATACACAAACTAGTGTATCTACTGTCTACCAGAGTTATTGTTTAGATCTGGGAGGATCCTAAGAAGGGAGCCAAGAGGACAGGGACCTGGAGCTAGTGTCTGAAACATTCTCAGATGAACTACTACTTGTTCTGAAGGGAATGTACAGCTTGCACAGTCTCATTGTCTAAGAGAGTGAGTATATACACTAACATTTCCTTATTAACCTCTCTCTTTCAACAAGGACAGACTCATGTCCTTAGCTGTGAACTCAGCTGAGACTATCCCTGCTTGATACTATAGACAAACTACTGAGTAGTAAACAGGGCTAAGTAACATTCTGAATGTTCTAAGATCTTAGAATGTAGAAGTAGTAGGTTAGATTGTACAGATTTAGACTTGGATAAAGTGTGAAGAGAAGAATCAAAAGAATCAGAAGAAATAGGAGAACTATCTACTTTCTAATAAATAATTTTGTTAATTTATTTTTTCTACTTTTTCTACTTTTTCTACTTTATTTACTTTTAATCCTATAGTGTCTATTGAATCAAAAGTGGCTATCAAAAAATCCAAGTCATAGCCCTTCAGTACTACATTTACTGTTAGGTCTCTACAAAATCCTAGAGTATATAGTCAGAGTCTAAGAGTTCTGAGGTGACTTCCAGATTTGTAGAAAAGGCTTCTTACTACAAATCCTGCTTATTACTCATTATTACTCTAATGACCTGATAGATGTACTATTGTTTCTGTAGACAGTCCTTAATTTAGTGCCCTGACTTTCTGTAAATAAAGTATGCTCCTTACTTTTAGACTTCTCTAATGTTTATTAGAACAGATTGATTACAAATTATAAGTAGATTGATCTAAGGGCTCAGAACTGTTAGAGTCAGATGTATGTGTAAGTATTCTATACAGACTTAATACATCCAAGCTGTAGCTTAGTCAAAGGAGATGGTATGTGTCTTCCACTTAGTATAGGTGACTAGTTCTAGTATTATCCTAAGAATCTTATCAACCAGTTCTGGGTGAAGAGCTTTTTCAAGTATTCTAATAAGGACATTATCAAACCTGAGTATGAATCCTGCCTTCCAGGCCAGGATATTAAACTTCTGAAAGAAGGTATTAGTAGAATGTTTACTCTGTCACAGAGATACAAGCTTGTTCTACACATTATACTTCTCATTCAGATTGATAAAGAAAGTACAGAGCTACCTTATGAATTCTAAGTATGACTTGTTGTTCTAAAGTCAGATCAGGCTTCTAATCTAATAGCCTTCAATCCAGTTCTAGGCCCAGGTGGCTGTGTTACCTTCCTTCATAAAGGAGAGGACAAATAGGATACAATTAAGATCTAAGGATAGATCAGTCAAAGTAGTAGCCATATATAGTTTGACTTAGTGTTAGAAGTCCTTAAAGTGCTACCTATTAAAGTCTAAAGGGTAGGCTATGTACACTTTCTTTCTAGAACAAGTTGCAACTTCCAGAATGACTAGAATAGGTTCTGAAGGGGCTGAGAGCACATAGTTGGTAAAGGCCTCTTAGATAGAGGTCTACACATATTAAGCTAGTTCTACTCATAACTACTGATCCAGCAGGACAGTAGGGGTGGCAGTTAGTGTAGGAGAGTTCATGTTTATACTACAAAGGAATCAGTACTAAACTAAAAGGGGTAATGAATAGAAGAAGGGTGGCAAAAGTTTAAAAGGGGTTTAGAGAGTTTAAAATTTAAAAATGTAGAAGGGTCAGGACAAAGAAAAGAGATTGACACAACAGTGAGTACTAATGCTTGAAATGTAGGAGAGTTGTAGGGTAGTAATGGGTAGTCTTAATCTGATGTCAGCAACAGTGTAGAGGGGACCTAAAGGCTTAACAAGAGGACCCAGGCTACAACTATCCTACACAACAGAAATACAGAACACAAGTACTAGAATGTAGTCAGAACTCACAGAACAGGCAGAGAGAGAGAGAGAGACAAGAGTAGAGTATATAGAGTGAGCCTAAGAGTACAGGACTACCTGGAGTAGACAAGATCAAGACTACAGGACCAGTCTGATCTTGTACACCTATATATACTAAACTACACAAGAGTACTCAGGGAGCATGAGCCACTTAAGAATGATAAGCCATGAAGAATGAAAGAAAGGAATGTCAAAGATAAAGGTACAAAGAATGAAGGGATGGACAAAGGGTAAGAGACTATAGAATGAACAAAGAATGAAGGGGTGGTCAAAGGAATGGAATGATGAAGTAAGGAAGGGTAGTAGTAAGAGTCAGTATACATATAGTCTATAGACAGTGCCCCTGAGGGACAGAAGTCCTGAGTTCTGGTACAGAAGGGTGCAGAACCCTTAGAACTGAAGGTACAAGAGTGGAGAACCATAACATCTACTGAAGAAGTACTGTAGACTGAATCAGTACCTATTACAATTTATTACAATAATCAAGGTGTAATAAAGACTGTAAAGTCTGACAAAATAATGTACAACACTCACACTAAACATCTTGATTTATGAAAAGACTTTATACAATGTTACATTCAAAACAATTACATTAATGTATACTATGTTCAATTACAGAACCAATTAGCAGACATTCTTACAAAAGCTCTCTACATCCTACAGATCAAGTATCTAAACAAACTATTAGGCATACAGTCCTAGTTCTTAATTAATGCTTGAAGGGGAGTATTAGATTGTGCTCTGGATTAGGAAATCCCCAATTGCCTTATGTAGAGTTACTACACTTGGAATGTCTCAGACTATCAGACTTTACTATGTAGTATATAAGGCAGACACTTGCTTAATGTCTTAATAAGAGAGAGTACTTGGGGCACTCCCACTATGCTAGTTAAAAAGACCTATTAATGGTCTTACAGGTACAGTCTTGGCTGCTTTCTTGCTAGATGGGAAATGTGTAGCCAGTGGTTTGTTCGACGGAACTGTCAGGGTCTGGGATGTTGAAAGCAGAAAAGCTGTTTTCAAGCCTTTCAAAGGGCATAAAAAGAGTGTAAATTCTGTTTCCTTTTCTCTGGATGGACGACGAATTGTATTGGGATCTAGCGATCACACCATGTGTGTATGGAATGCTGAGAATGGACGGATTGTTTGCGGCCCTCTCGAAGGTCACACAGACAGCATCAATTTGGTTACTTTCTCTCGTAATGATGAACACATTGCCTCAGGCTCTGCAGACATGACTATCCGAATCTGGGACATTGCAAGTGGTAAATGTAGCTCCAAGCCCCTCGGGTGGCATGGCAGTGAAGTACAATCAGTCGCCTTCTCGTCCGACGGGAAACGCGTTGTCTCTGGTTCTCTATGGACAGTTTGGATCTGGGATATAGAAAGCGGACTCGTCATTTCTGAGTTTTTCGAATGGCGCGCTGACTGGGTACAGTCTGTTTCATTTTCCCCTGATGGGACCCGTGTCGTCTCAGGCTCTTGGGATGGAACCATTCGAATCTGGGACACTGAAAGTGTACAACTCGATTCTGAGAGTTTTGAAGAGGATGGAGACGGTGTAAATTCTGTCGCTTTCACACGCGATGGCAGCCGCGCTGTCTCTGGCTCAAATGATAAAACAGTTCGAATCTGGGATACTGAAAGCGGGAACGTTGTTTCAGGACCTTTCAAAGGGAATTCAGGCTATGTCTTGTCTACCGACTTCGCGTCAGACGGAAGACTTTTTGTTGCGTCTGACTCCTTTGACCATGCAATCCGAATATGGGACGCTGGAAGTGGTGAGGTAGTTTCCGGACCTTTCGAAGGACACGAAGGAGCAATCCAGTCCGTCTCGTTCTCTCCAGATGGGACACGCCTTGTATCCGGCTCGAACGACAAAACGCTCCGATTATGGGATGTTGAAACCGGACGAGAGATTTCCACGCCTTTGAAAGGTCACGAGGGCCGTGTTAACTCAGTTGCTTTCTCGCCTGATGGGAGATACATTGTCTCTGGATCTTCGGATAGGGCAATCATAATTTGGGATGCCACCACTGGCCCACCAGCGGCAAAGTCACCTTTCGATTTGGACCCATAAAAGGAAACAGATATTCGTACCTCTCTAACTCCGAACACGGAGGTGAAGTTTATTCGGTAGCTTTCTCGCCTGACAGCACTCATGTTGTCTCTGGATCTGCTGATAATTCCATCTTGATCTGAGACGTTGAGAGAGGAAAGGTCGAGGCTGGGCCTTTCAAAGGCCATACAGACATAGTTACCTCAGTCGCCTTCTCTCCTAACGGGGAACGTGTAGTCTCGTGTTCTGACGACGATTCAATCCGGATCTGGGATGCCACGAGCGGACAGACTGATTTTAAACGTTCTGTATGGCATGCAATAGGTGTCACGTCTGTTACTTTCTCGCCTGATGGAAGTCATGTTATCTCTGGCTTCCGGGATTGTACAATCAGATTATGGAATGTACAAGGTGAGAACCATTTCTATCCTGTGCAGCAATCAATGTCTGACACACCTTGTTGCTTGCTTTCACTGTTGATATACTTGTAGATTTTGACTTTGATTGGATGTTGGGTGGAAATGGGTGGATATATGGGCGTGAAGGAAAGCTGCTCTTGTGGATTCCGCCCGATATTTGTCCAATGCTTCAGTGCCCTCGAGTCCCCACAATCTTCAATAGCCCATTTTCGATCAGATTAGACTTCACAAACGCTGCTCTTGGAGAACGGTGGCAAGAATGCTTCGAACCAATTTAGTGTTATGATGTCTCTGTCAATGTGATTTATTATCGTTTCATTCATCCTTAAAAGTTAAAACCTTGCTTCGTTGTTGTTGTTAGTAGAAATTTACCCATTGCTACATAGTACTCTTGAAAGCCGTATCAATCCAAGGTTATACCTCCTCTTATACGTCCATTACACTGTGATTCATGGAGTATATATACACTGTATCACGTTCTTTTATTCAAAGTATTAGTGTCAAAGCATTTAACAGAAATATACCTTTTATAATAATGGTATTCGAGTTGAGTAGTTGACCGCACTTTGATGCTATTTTAGTTTCATCAGTAAGGGTATTAGGGTTCAGATAGCTGAATGATGTGGTTGCTTAACCAGGTATAATGTTCTGCACATTAATTAGAGCGGAAAGCAGTTTAAATTTCTCAAAAAACTTTTTATCGCGTAACGAATGAATATGTTTAGGGGCGGCCCACAGCATCTCAACGGAACGGCTGTTCACTTTCGGCGACTAAACGCTTCAACCTCGATCTCGACGGACAACTTCGTCCAGCGATGAGGACGACAAGCATCAACGCCGGAGCTGTGCATAGCGTATACATTATGGCGTCCTTGTCGGGGGAGAGGTGAAGGCGCAAGTGGATAAGAAAGCTATAATAAAATAGGTGACAACTCATCGATGCCACGGCCAACCTAGTCGCTTTTCTCAACTTTTCCTCCGACGACCACGACCTGTCTGTCGCCATCTCTCCTGCAAACCCTCGTGCCCTACATATCGACGATAAAAAATGAGTGACCTAACTACTGAGACGTTCAAACCCCTTCTGGCTCTCCTCGTTGAGACACCTGAATATTTCACCACGCCAGACTTGACGCTCGCGCTCGAACACCTCTTCACACCCTCATGCGTGCATCCCGTACAGATTGGTGCATTCCTCGCTGCACTACACCTATCACGTATCGAGCGCCGTCCGGAGATGCTCGCTGCTGCTGCGGCAGCATTGAGGGCACGAGCTTTGAAAGCTGATATCGAAGGGCGGGAAGAAGATTTTGTCGTCGATATCGTTGGTACTGGTGGGGACGGACATAATACATTTAATGTGAGCACGACAGCTGCGGTCGTTGCCGCTGGTGCTGGAGCGCGTGTTTGTAAGGTACGTCATCAACCCTCAACAATTTTTTTTTTCGAAGAAATTTATAGTGCATATATGCAGCACGGAAGTCGAGCATCGACGTCCAGTTCCGGGTCTGCCGACCTCCTTCAATCTCTCGGCTGTCTCTTCATACCTCCAACAGCGAGCACACCCATGCACATCCGCCGCATACCTTTCACGTTCATCCTCGCACCGCATTACCACCCCTCCCTCGCAATGATCGCACCCTACCGTAAAGCACTCCCCTTCCGAACGATGTTCAACGTCCTCGGACCATTAATCAACCCCGCATTCCCGCATGGTCTCGTCCTCGGCGTGGCAGAACCAGCACTCGGTCAACCCTTCGCAGAGAGTCTACGCGATAGCGGTGTAGAACGTGCCTTAGTCGTGTGCGGTGCAGAACATCTAGACGAGATTAGCTGTGCAGGGAATACACACGCTTGGGAGCTGAAAGATGGGAGGATCACACAGACGACGTTACACCCTGCCTTGTTTGGTCTGCGTGTACACCCGTTGGGGACTGTTGCGAGTGGGACGCCAGAGGAGAATGCAAAAACGTTTGTGACACTTCTGACGAGCGGTGATAAAATCCCGGCAGCGCTGGAATCTGTGTTGGAGTATGTACTTCTGAATGCTTCAGCTCTCCTTGTGGTAGCAGGTGTTGCGAAAGATTATAAGGACGGAGTACGGCTCGCACGGGAGGCTGTCACATCTGGCAAGGCGTGGGAGGCATTGCAGACATTTAAAGAAGAGGGTGAACGAGCGGCTGCTGAGATGAATGCTCAAGCTTCTCAAAATTAGACTTGTGTAATGTTACATATATTTGTAGAAATTTTTTGTTTACGACTTTTCAACATAGTGCTGTCTTTCTCCCTCTTATTGCTCCTAAAGAGTCGGTAATCAAAGAGAGAAGGTCGTTTAATGTGCACACCTAGTCATTCAATTTAATGAAGACGTGGGTCGTCAAAGTGAAATCGAGAAATGTGGGAGTATATGATTGTGACAGATCTGGATCTATGTGAAAGGTGTGAAATTCTGAATAAAGCAGTACTCACGAGACGTGTCCTTTCGATTACTGCCACCAACTTTGCTACTACGTTGCTGTCTGTCTTGGTCCCGGGGTGTATTCAGTCGCATTATTGACCAGATATAGCTGACAATACAATAATTGCGTGTTTCTCGGAGGTCGGAGTCTTCGGAAGCAGAATCGTACCATCGTACCATCTGTTGGCTTGAATAGCGCGCGTCGCCGACGAACGGAACAGCGACTTGATTTACATCTTCGTAGCTCGTATTTCCCCCCACATCTTTCTTGCCTAGCAAGCTGTGTCTTCTGTCTTTGGACGGAAACAGGGAGTAAAGACTTTCCTTCCTTTGAAAAGACTTGTAAGTCAACCAGAACGGAGCGCATATACGCGCATACAGTCAACTTGACTAATGCTTATCTCTCCTTCAAACCAGTCTTTCTCAGGTCAAGACTCTACAATAATGGCGACATCAACGAACGACTCAGCCAAAACCGAGACAAAACCAATGCGTCAACGCATGACGGAGTACATCCTCGACTTACAGGAACGTATCGTCACCGCTCTAGAAGGCGTCGATGCCTCCGCTCCAAAGTTCAAACGCGACTCATGGACACGCGCTCAGGGAGGGTACGGTACCTCCTGTGTCTTCGCTTCACCTCCTTCCTCGGATTCTCCGGATTCTCTATCTCCTCCACTTGATCCGGGAAAAGTTACGGTCTTGGAAAAGGGTGGAGTGAATATAAGTGTGGTTCATGGGATGCTTCCACCGAGTGCGATAAAACAAATGGTTGCGGATCACTCGAGCATACCGTTCAATCCGAACGATCCGAACCCAAAGAGTTTACCGTTCTTCGCTGCTGGGATCAGTTTGGTGATCCATCCAAGGAACCCTAGTGCTCCGACTGTACATGCAAATTATAGGTATTTCGAGTTGACAGAACCAGACGACGACAACTCCGCGAAAGAAACCGTTAAAAAGGAAGAAGAAACAAACGACACTGACGTGAAGCAACCAAAAGTCCTCGCATGGTGGTTCGGTGGAGGTGCAGACCTCACTCCTTCCTACTTCTTCGAAGCCGACACACAGCACTTCCACAAAACTCTCAAATCCGCATGCGAGCCACACGGAAGTGCTCTCCACCCTGCGTTTAAATCCTGGTGCGATGAATACTTCTTTATCACACATCGAGGCGAGTCACGTGGGATAGGAGGGATATTCTTTGATGACTTGTCGTCCGATCCACATAAACGACTTCCGGATTCCTCACCGAAAGCATCACGACCCATAACGCAAGAAGAGATCTTCGCCTTTGTGCGTTCCTGTGGAGACGCATTCATACCTTCATACATCCCCATCCTCGAACGGCGAAAGGATACACCCTGGAATCCTCATATGCGTCGATGGCAGCTCCTTCGTCGGGGCCGATACGTCGAGTTCAACCTTGTGTATGATAGAGGTACGAAGTTCGGGCTGATGACACCTGGCGCTCGAGTAGAGAGTATTCTGATGAGCTTACCGGAGACGGCGAGGTGGGAGTATATGAGTGAGATGGGGACGGAGGAAGGAACTGAGGAAGCGAAGCTACTGGAGATCTTGAGGAAGCCGAGGGATTGGGCATGAGTAGAAAGATGAAGGAGATTGAATAATAGTAGCTAATAGGAAAGTACTTTGGCTTTACGTGGATTTCGGACCTGCATCTGGTAGACATGCCTCCGCTCTATGTAACTCTGTATAACTTATCAAAAAATAAGATAGCAACTTGCAAGTCTCAAGACCTTTTTTTGTAGACGGAAATATCTAGGTTGGAACATACTCCATGAATTGTTGTGAATGAAATCATAATGTACAAAATTGCTTTTTTAATTTCATCAATGCACAACAAGTTAAATGGAATAATATAGATACTGGACATCTCTATTACTTCAATACTTGGGCATCACAAAGCATTCCTGCCATCGTTCTCCAAGTGCGGCATTCGTAAAGTCCAATCTAGTTGAGAACGCACAACCACGAACTGCGGTATTCTGAGGTCGCCAAAGCGTTGTCCGCAGATCAGGCGGAATCCACAACAGCAACTCTCCTTTATGTCCACGTATCCATCCATCTTCATCCAGTGTCCAATCAAAGACGGGATCTGTTTTGAGTGTGAAAGCAAGAGACAAGGCATCAGTCATCAACTTCTAAGTGAGGGAGAAGCTGTCCTCTGACCTTTTACATTCCACACTCTAACTATGAAATCCCGAGAGCCAGAGACGACGCGTCTTCCATCAGGTGAGAATGCAACAAAGGAGACACTATCTGCATGCCCTTTAAAAGGCGCGAAAATGGCCTGTCCACTATCAGCATCCCAGACTCGGACTGTCGTATCACCGGAACCCGAGACGACAAGTGCACCGTCAGGGGAGAAAGCAACGGAAAGAACCGACGATGCGTGTCCTTCGAAAGGTCCAGCCACGACCTGTTCACTCTCGACGTTCCAGATCAAGATGGTTTTGTCACCAGAACCAGAGACTACACGTGTGCCATCTGGGGAGAAAGCCACTGACAGAACTGCACTTTTGTGTCCTTTCAAGGGTCCGGAAATGACAGCCCCGCTTTCAACGTCCTAAACTATGGTGGTATTATCGCCAGAGCCAGAGACAACGCGTCTTCCGTCAGGCGAGATAGCAACAGAAGTTATATCCTCTGCATGCCTTTCAAGATACCCGGAACTGGCCTCCTCGCTTTCCGCATCCCAGATGCGGATCGTGCAGTCGTCAGAGCCTGAGATGACGCGGGTTCCATCCGGGAAGAATGCAACAGACCGTACCCAATCAGTGTCCCCTTCGAACGGCCCAGAAACGACCTGCCCAGTTCCAACATCCCAGACTCGAACTGTCTTGTCAGCAGAACCAGAGATGACGCGTTTCCCGTCCGGTGAGAAAGCGACGGATTTTACTGCAGCAGTATGGCCTATGAAAGGGTCTGAAATACACTCCCCACCCTCGGCGTCCCATATTCGAATTGTGGCATCTCGGGAGCCCGAGGCGACACGTATATTGTCCCAAGAGTAAGCAACTGAAAAGACAATGTCTGTGTGGCCTTCGAGAGGAGCACAAATGGACTGCCCACTCACGAAGTCCCAAATTCGAATGGTCTTATCATCGGAACCAGAAACGATGCACTTTCCGTCAGAAGAGAAAGAAACACATCTCACGGCGCCTACATGCCCTTCGAGACGCTTGACGGCTTGTCCGCTTTCAACGTGCCAGATCATGACAGTTTTGTCGTTAGATCCAGAGACGACATGCGTCCCGTCCGGGGAGAAAGCAACGGAACAAACAGTACCGGTATGCCCTTCGAAAGGTTCAGAAATCATCTGCCCGTTCTCAACGTCCCAGATTCTGATTGTCTTATCGTTAGATCCGGAGACAACGCGCGCACCGTCAGGCGAGAAACTGACAGAAAATATTTGCCCTTTATGTCCTTCAAATGGACCAGAAATGGCTTGCCCGCCTTCAGCGTCCCAAATGTGGATCGTCCCATCGCCGGAGCCAGAAGCAATACGAGTGCCGTCGGGCGAGAAAACAACGGACAAGACGGGGCCATAGTGTCCTGTAAGCTCCATCAAAAGTGGTGACCGGTGCTTCACACCTATGTCCTCTACTTGTACAGTTGGTAGATCATGTTTCAAATGATGCATCAAAAATTTCGAGTCCATCGATGCAAATAGAAGGAAAGAAACGTATATATGTGGCGTCAATTGTGAAATAGCAGGCAAGTAAACAGTAATTAGTTTACGTGCATCTCTGAGGAAGGCTAGTACGTCGGAATTGTGTGACTTTCAAAAGATAACATAAGTTTCGGCTTCGGCAATACATCTACATACTCACCGAGACCCAATTCATGACATGAAAGAGCGCCGGGTTAACAATATCGACTCTCTCCAAGAGGCTCGTCACCTCAAGCCAATACAGGAATCGTTCACCGAGGAACTCTGACAGCTCGTCCAATAACGTATTTGAGAATTGCACATTGTGTAAGTGTTGACTCCAAAAGAGACATGCATAATACATATTGCAAGTGTGGAGGAATATTTTCTTCGATGCGATCTGGAAGGCCAGGGATCTGATTGTTAGGGATATATGATGACTGTATATCACAGATGTTGAACCGGAGCATGCCCCTCATGGTATCGAAGCATCGCATGGCGATAGAGCCCTTCTGGGCTTCGAGATTAATACACCAATCATCGCTTTCACGTCCTGGAGCCAACAAGTAGTCGCGGAAGGATGTATGGCAGAAGCGGATAGGTGTTCCTGGAGTATACACGAGCACTGACTGTAGACGTGAAAGGACAAGACGTGAAGACTCTTCGTCGGAATATCCCAGAATCCCGTCCATTGTGTCATCGGATAAAGGAACTTTACAAAGAAGGAGGAGGCCGATAACTTGCGAAAAGTGAGTCCTAGATGTTTCGTCATCGAATGAGATACCCGAACTTTTCAGGACAGTACGGTACAAATTATCGAGGGCGGAGAGTGACTGTGATTGGGCTGCAAGGTCGTTTAGCCTCCGAGCAGGATAGTCGCGGTCTATTAGCTTGACCGCTGTCGATGCCCAGATGAAAAGTCCACCTGCTGCATTTCCAAGACGTTCCATCTTCAACTGCCAGTCATCCACCATCTTCAATTTGTTTTTCGCAAACACATGACACATCTCGTGATCGATATACCGAAGCACGTCAATCTTGCACGTTTCCGAATCATGCTCCAACTCGACAGCACAAACGAACTCGGACTGGGAAGATAGTACTCGGTCGATGTCCAGCTCCTTTCTACTTGTAATAAGGAATCGGAAGTTCTTGGGAAGAGTAGGAAGTCCTTCTCGGAACAGTTCGAGCAAGCGCCTTCGGCCGCTGTCTGTTCCACACTCATCCAATGCGTCGAGGACAATGACGGTGACTGGTCCCTGCAGAGCTTCTCCGACCCGATCAAGAGGGATTTTAATGAGTTTCTCGAACTGAGTCGTCCCAGAAGCTAGTGCAATATCACTATCCTGCACAATGGCCTCAATGACGTGTTCGGCAATCGAAGAATCGAATAAGGCGAGCTTGTAAGCGAGTGTGCGAATGACCGCACTGGGCTCACTCTTTCCTCGTTGGAAGAAAAGATGAGCACCAAGGCGAGATATAGCACTAAAGTGTTCCGCAATCGTCGTGCTAATTGTGCTCTTGCCAGATCCCGCAACGCCGTGCAACCAGAACACGTTCTGATTTGAACCCGATGACGCCCATTCAACAATCTCATCCATAATGTTTCTGCGCGTTCCGGGAAGGCACTGTGGTCGATCAAATGCGCTCATCCTCTCCGGTTGAAGTCGGTCCAGGACTAGATTACTGAATTCAATAGTAGTTAAAAGTGGCGCCGATAGTATTACGCACATGAGATATCGAACTTAGAAGACAATTCATTGACCTTTGAGGTCAAGGCATCGACGCTGAAAGAGATCCTCGAAGAAACGAAACCAACTTGGACAAGGATTCCAGAGTCTATCGAGGACTTGAGTGCTTGAAATGCCTTGAGAAATTTATCGATCGTCCCTTCTGCTTTTTGCATGAACACTCGTCCTGATATACAATGAGTCGACAACAGTCAAGGTATTAGAGCATAGACAGACTTAATATATTGCGACTTGTGTACTCTTGAATGAAGAGGCAACACTCTTCAGTCTGCTTCAAGAGCTGAATAACTGTCGTCTGGAGCCTGTCTGTCTTGTCGTGAAGAATGTTATTTTTTTCGACAAAGTCGAATGCGTCTATCATGGCGTGCACAAGTTCGACAACCTTTTTGTCAACCTCAAACTGATGCCTGAGTCCCTGTAGATCTTGTCAAGCCATGTCAAATCTTGGGCAATAATACATACTTTGTATAGAGCAGAAGCCAATTGCCATGCAATTTGGCATACGGGTGAATCTAACATCTTTTAGTAAGCGTTGCACCGTGATGATCAAGGACAAGCAGACACCTACTTGTGATAATTTGTCTACGACTTGAACGAACGTGTCCAGCGTCGAGACGAGGCTTCCCACTGACTTGTATAGATCGGCATGCTTTGCGAAGTGGGCAGTGGTAGCATCAGCCGCTGCAACTGTAACCGAATCGGTAGCATGTCCCGAGGTTGCGAAGCTACCACCTTGGATTGCTTGCTCTGCTGCATCGAGTCTATGTCTAGCACTTGCCATCGCATCGAGGAACTCTAAGCGAACACAAAGGATGGCTGCTTCTGTAAATGGTGAACCATGAGGTGCATTAAGGCGGAGCTCCGTTTCTAACAGTTTAATTAGTATTTCAGAATGCTGATCACGACCAGTTCACACACCCTTGATAGTGACACACTTCTTAAATAAGTCATCCAGCTCTACTTCAATTTCGCCTACATATTTGTCTTTCCACCGTGACGAATCGTGCTTGATCCGAATTGCGAATGTTGCTCCCTGGTTCACAGTTGGTCTACAAATGCACAATTCAAAAATCACTTTTGATTGTCGTATACGCTTTGCTTACCGTTTGAACAAAAAGCATTCGTTCCATTTCGGTGAGAGGTTCCCCTTACAAGTCTTGGTCCGTCTCTTACCGTTGAGGAACCTGATCTCAACGTATAGATTTGGTGGACGGGTTGCCTCCTATTTCACGTTAGAGGCACTGACCACTACAAAGTATGTCAAAATGGCACACGATTTAAGTATGAGCGAAGAGCAAACCTGTCAAGGCCAAGTCAGGAGCTATGGATGAAGAGGCCATGAAGGGAAAACGAAAGGCAGATGTTCTCTGCTTATCGACGGGGGTCTTCGGTCTTAAGTAGGCTTTGCAGCTTCTCACAGGTAGATAAAAATGGATTGTTGGCCATGGCCCATGAGCGCGCCGCATGCCTGATGTTCTGTTCTACTCGTATTGATTAAATCAAAGAGAACGTTGATTAACGCTCATCTTGACACTTACAGAAGCGACACTTAAGGTGAGGTGGGGCGTGCTGTTGGGGCAAACAATGATCCTTGGGCACTGTAGAAAGCTATGCAAGGATAATGCATGTTGCCGCTAGTGCTCCGCGCGTAGCGTATACGCTTACGCGCGTAAAATTTCCCACGTATACGCATACGCGCGTATAATTACGGGCGTAAACTGGGTCAGCAGGACCCATATACGATACGCTACTTCTGTATACGGTGTATACGGCGTATACGCTGTGCCAAATATAACAAGATACTTTACATTAAAATAGCTCATAAAAGTACACTATCATCTTTCAAAACAAATGCTTGATATTACTGAGCTAAGAAAATGTATTGTAGTG